TCAGACTACAACATCCAGAAGGAGTCGACTCTGCACTTGGTGCTTCGTCTTCGAGGTGGTATGCAGATCTTCGTGAAGACCCTCACTGGCAAGACGATAACGCTAGAGGTTGAGCCGAGTGATTCGATAGAGAATGTGAAGGCGAAGATTCAGGACAAGGAGGGAATTCCGCCAGACCAGCAGCGTCTGATCTTCGCAGGGAAGCAGCTGGAGGACGGTCGTACACTGTCAGACTACAACATCCAAAAGGAGTCGACTCTGCACTTGGTTCTTCGCCTTCGTGGTGGTTAATTCTAATTTTATTTCATTAACAGGCAATAAACTAGTTTTAGTTCTAACTTTTTTTGCGTGCCTTTGAGATTGTTTTTGTAGCGTAGCAATGTCGTTATTTTGTGGTGAGGCGATAAATGTTACACAGTTGTTTTGCTTGATTTATTGGACCGACCAAGTGGCCTTTTGGAAGTGGTTTTACTTACTAGACGGCTCTCAGTCGCGGAGAACATGGCTAGTTGAAGTTGATTTAGTGAGATATGTGGTCTGCGCAGGATTGTCGGTTGTTCTTGTGTGCTGCTTATAGTTCCGCGCTACGGAAAATTGTTTGTCAGGAATTGCGTCGTTTCGTGGCCGAACATAGCAATTAGGGACTTCGGGTACTTTGCAGACATTGCGAGGCTATCAATGTCTTACGGGGGCGTTGAAGCACTACCAGATGTCTGGCGCATTGTAGATGCGACTGGGTAGCTACACGCTTCGATGCACAATTTGCGAGCACCTGAGTTCTCGAAACTTCATCATCGTGTAATTGTGTACGAATTATCAGTAGAGTGCTCCCAGGACGTTTTGCATGGCTGTCAAGACACTTGGCAATTCACTTTTTTCAGTTCTAATGTTTCGTTGCATAACCCTACTCAGAACACGACCACGGGAATCATTTAAAGGCGTTGCTATCAGTTTGACGGCGCAGCGATGCCCACCCCGATGGCCGTTATGTGGTGAAATAGAGGGACTCATTCATACAATATGCATCGGATTGCGAATTGCTTCCTCCAATACGAAACGCTCTAAGTTAACTCTAGTCTGACGTTCTTCATTCAAGATGCAAAAAAGCTGTCAAGAGTATTAGCAGCCAATGCTTAACCAATCATATGATTGGTCACGAATGACGTGGCACTTGATCCCACTTCTTTAACTCAAGCAATGTTGAGCTCATCCCTCAGTTAAATTGCTAACCATGCACCAAACTCGTGCAGTCGTGACTTTCTACGTTACCTCTCGAGGCCTTTATGAAACGGGCGACTTCAGTCAACTTATTGAACACAGCATCAAAGCTGTGACGCTTTCCTCTACGCCGCTTCTTCCGTTTTTTCACCCAACTAGGATCAAATTAGATATCTCATGAAGAGCGCCATAGCCATTCTAATGCGCTAGAACATTGATTGGCACTTGATCCCACTTCTTATGTTAGCTCAAACAACAGTGGGTTTGTTCTTCGCCTAAATATACTAACCATACACCAAACTCGTGCAATCGTGGCTTTCTACGTTACCACTCGAAGCCTCTTTCATACGCGCGACTTCAGTCAACTTACGGAACACAGTATCACAGCGGTGACGCTTTCTTCTACGCAGGTTCTACCGTTTTTTCACCCAACTCAAATCCACCCAGCTAGAATCAAGCTAGATACCTGGAGGACGCCATAGCCATCCAAATGCACTTGTTGCGGCCGAGTTTAGTACTACCATGAGACCTTATATTTAACAGCCGGTAATAACCCGAGGAGAGGGTAGCCAAAAGAGTCGACAGAGAACACGATTGTTTATTAGCCTCACGAAAGACAAGTAAATTAAGTAGTTTTTTGTGTGCGAATCAATGCACCTGAGTAACAGGCGACTGCTAACCGGAGTCAGTAACAAAGGGGATGAGCGAGTCGGGCGAGGATGCACACATCACTCACGCGCGGTGGCTGTCTGTCCACTACAGTACATTCACGGTAAAAATCGATTGAGTTTTGTTCGCTCACGCTTGCAAACTGCGTCCGCTCACGAATGCTGACTGTGCTGGCTTGCTGGTCGCCACACACTGGAGCACGATGATTTGCTGCTCCTTGCTGACTGTTGTGATTTTACGGTGACTAGTGAAGCATGATCCGTAAACATGGCACCATGTTGGAGTAGAAAACACCCTGGTGCTGATGCAATTTGCCTGTCTGACATGCTCCATTTGCAGGAAGCGATTAGGTCAGAGTACTTTACTTTCGTAGTAGACCACCTCTGACGTCCTTGATTCAGAATGCACCACACGCTGTCAAGGGTATTAGCACCCATTGCTTAACCACTCCCATGATTAGCCACGAGTGAGGTGGCACCTGACCCTACTTCTTATTTTAACTCAAACAACGATGAGTTAGTTCTCAGCCCAAATTGCTAACCATACACCAACCTCGTGCAATCGTGGCTTTCTACGTTACCTCTCGAAGCCTCTTTTAAACGCGCGACTTCAGTCAACTTACGGAACACAGCATCATAGCGGTGAAGCTTTCCTCTACGCCTCTACTTCCGTTTTTTTCACCCAACGCAAATCCATCCAACTGGAATCAAGTTAGATACCCCCTGAAGGTCGCCATAGCCATCCTAATGTACGGGAGCACGATGATTTGCTACTCCTTACTGACTGTTGTGATTTTACAGTGACTTTAGTGAAGCATGCGCCGTAAACATGGCACCACGTTGGAGTAGAAAACACCCTGGTGCTGATGCAATTTTCCTATCTGACATGCTCTATTTGCAGAAAGTGATTAGGTCAGAGTACTTTACTTTCGTAATGGCCTACCTCTTCATTTTTTGTCCGACTGCTTTTTACCTGACGTTTTGGTGTGCCTATCGACTTGGCAGTTATGCGGACTATTCAACATGAGCACGTGTACCAAGCCCTACTCCCCATCCCAGACCTGTGTCAAGTAATTGGAACACAACAAATGAGTGAACGTGTTTACACAAACGTAAGACAAAGACAAGAAAAAATGAATGGTGGGCGAGAACTTCAAGTGAATCTACAGCAGAATGACGAATAGGCTTAAGAAATCTACGAGGGTCGAAGGTCTACATCGCCTCGAATAGGTCGACGCGTTTTTTCGCGAAACCGGTCTGGATGACCTTAAGCGAGGAGAACTTGAGGTCCTGACCGGCTGCGCTGGTTGCACTGCCACCCGTGTAGGGCTCTGGAATCACC